CTAATTATGTGAGGCTATATTTGTTGCATTGCGTGACGAGGGGAAGAACAAGATGAACATGAGAATAGAGAGGTTGAAGATGGATGTGTACCTGTTTCACGTCTCTTGGTGATGCCGAGTGGTGATGTTGAAGAGAAACATGAAGAGAATGTCTGTGTAGATGATATCACAGTTACAATAGGTATGTAGTGCAACCTCATCTACTTCGTTTATGGTAGGGTGGATACATGTAGCTTGTCAAGGAAACGAAGCATTCATGTGATTCGGTGAATGAAACACAAGGAGACTTGTCATTTAAACCAAAGTAAATGAGACTGTCGTCGATGTTATCAGTGTCTACACTGAGGTAGTAGGTAAGAAAGTATATATTCCAGCCTAGACAACCATGGAGACATATACGTGGATATATTCATATATGTAAGTGTGCAGATTGTGATCACTATGCATGTATGTTTAACTGACTGTCTCTCCTCTCGTCCACCTCTGTACAGACACATCGACAGTTGTGGAGACTGAGAGAAGCAGCATTGAGCAGGAGACAGACACGAGTGTCTCAACACGATTCACTCGACCAGCTGTAACAACCAAACAGACCACAACGGTGACAGCCACAACCACACCACCAACAACATCACCACCACACCACCACCACCACAACAACAACAACGATAGCCACAGCCACAGCCACTGCCACTGCCACTGCAAAGACGACAACGCCTGTCACGTTTGTCACGCCGACCATGCTGACTGCGAATACGACAACCACGGTGACGACAGACATCACAGACAACACAACGACCACACCGACTACCACAGTGACAACGATCATCACGGCTCACTCATCTACTCCTTCACCCTTCGGTAAGTTCACATTTCACCACACACATTCCCTCACTCCTTCACCCTCACACATTCATCTTCACTGTCTCTGTGTTACACAGAATGCTTTCGATTACTCTCTTCAGCTACTCACACGCTTCACCTTTCCATCCACTTTCTCTCCTTTATGGTCTCTTCTCATTCGCTTTCTTCACTGCCCCCATGCCCTTCATCATTATTCTTCACTGGTCTCTGGAATCTCCATCCTCACCCCTATTATCAACTTATTTCTTTTACTTTTTCTCACTCAGCATTTCTCTCTTCCAGGATTCGGTTCTCACGGCTTACCCTAATTTTGGTTGTTTCAATAGCTACATCTTATCGCGCTTCCAATTTCACGTGTCTTATTATTTCGCTAATCACACGTAAGACTACACACTGTGTGCAAATTTCATTGCATCGTCGTTTTACTCGTTACCAGTCTCCAAATTCATTCACCCTCACAGAAAATAGACCATTCATGCACGTCAAAGCTCTTGGCATGTTTCATCTGACCTCATAGGAAATCCGAGTGTTCGCACAAAATATATCTTCTTCTCGTATTCCTCTATGAACGACCTATTAGACAGGTGTCATTTTCTCAACCCAATAACATAACCTCACATGGATGTCTAGTGTGCTAATACGCAAACATTCATCCTCGTTGTTCACCTACATTCATTCCAGATACTTTGCAACACAGATGTTCTTCTCAACACCAGTGCTAAATGATGATATGTGAACACTCACACAATAGGAACAACAACAACATATTGTGGCATATCCACCGAACTACTCATCTGATTGATACCAGTTGATGTTGATCACGTTTTCTACCACATAGCCCATATCTCCCCACATCTCACAACCAGGATATGCCTAATCAATGCAATTCTCCTTTGCTTTCCTACACTTCTCATCATTATCTCAAACACGGATGCTTGCATCCAATTCCATCCGAAGCATACTCCAACGCATCTCCCACCACACAATCCTTCATCTCACCGAAACATCTCCAGCTCAACATCACCCTCGATTCTTTAACTAAACACAGCCTTATCGCACATTGCATTCCATTCCTTCAACTTGCAAGTACTAAACGATGAAGATACGAAGGAGAAATGAGTGAAAGACGCAAAGCCAAATCTCCATCAACTCCATGGAGTACAATTTGCAACAGAAACATGTGACAGCTGCTTGGTCAGACTACACACGTTGAAATCATGCTGACAACTTCCGGATGACCTACACATTCCAACAGGCATGAACACAGTTGCTGACCGTATCATATTTGTCATAACGCACCTAATATATCAACCACACTGAACACCGAAACAAACGATTATCACTGGATTCCAACTCAAATATCCAACTCATGTGTCAGTGCTGCACTATGACTTCCATTCCACACTCACATTACACCTAATTCCAACGACCTCATCGTGGTGCAATCTCCTCTCTCTCTCTCTCTCTCTCTCTCTCTCTCTCTCTCATTGACTATTCTGGGAAGTGTGGGATTCGTCTACACCGTCTACATCACAACCACATTTCTCCTCCTTCACACGCTCCATTGGACAAAATCCATGCTCATACATAACAGCCCTTCTACCTTTCCTTCCTTCTTTAACGGTATTCAATAAACCATCTTCTTCATTCGGATAACCACGCATAATCACACACATATAGTCCCGTGAAATGAAGAACCTCCCTCCACCATCGAAACTCTATCTCCTACTTGAAACTTGCTTGTGAGATTTCGCCACTCATCTCACGAATGTCAATTCAATGCACACTACCCTATCCAGGTTTGACGAAAGACACTGTCAAAGTGTCTTGTTCACTTGCCAGCCTCAACACTCAGAATGTCTTCAGAACTACTGTTCCACTGTCTCTGACATCCCACAAAATGTGGCTACCTGAATGGTGATAGAACCTCAAGGTCTCTGACGTCAAATCCAGCTCATTGTGATCCCACGATTATCATCTCATCAGATTAACATTCATAAAATCTTATGAACCTACCAGCTAGCCTGTTTGTTCGCTATCATTACCACATCTCCTACTTCGTTCGATCTTACGTGTGTGTTTTCGCCACCCACCCACCATTTCCTAATGCAATACACACTCACTTATCCACATTCATCAAAATACACTCACAAGATGCATTGTTAGCTACAACCTACTAAAATCACACTCTTTTCAAATCTACTGATTGAGTGGCCCAATCAATCCACACAGAGTGCTAAACTGAATATCGTTTGGACAACAAACACTCTGTCATCAATTCCAAATGATTCTAGTGCTATGACAAACATCTCATAATCTTCCTCATGTATAGAACTGCAGTGAATCAACAACATCCCAGCCTAGTCCATCACACGGTCCACATACAAATTGTCGGCTGACAAATCTCTCAGTGTTCAAGTGCGGTACTCCCGATTCATTTGTCGATGAGCAGCTAGGTTGTTGATATCCATGTCGGTCGGCAGAATCCCACCTTGCATAAGTCTCATCAATTATCCAATACAAAGTCTCCTGCTCACTGAATGTCATCTGAGGACACAATGAATTCTGTGACATCTCCTGACAGTCAGCCACAAGAGACGAATATCCAGCTGACCTTGCATAGTACCGAATTAGCACGAAGTGGTCAAGTGGTTGTTTCACACACAGCCACCGTCACTCACTACCACACTGGATTCACACTTGCACCATCCAACAACTACAGAAACCTCGAAACATCTGGTCCTGCAGATGCAGAAACATTCCTTCCGTGTCTGATACCACAGAGATTTCACAACTTGTCAACCTCAACAGCGAACCCACACATGAAGCTTCACGATCTGAGACACTCAACAGTGCATCGCACCGAGGAAACCAACAATGATTTCTCGAGTGATCAATGGCAACAAGACACTTCTCAGCCTTACTGAGATTAAATACTGCGTGAACAGATAACCACCATCTTCCAGATTTCTCATCTTCACTCACTCTCTCAACACGCTATCACTCACTATAGCGAAGTGGATGCAAACTGAAGTTCATTGTCATCCTGTTTACGTTTTTCATTTTAAGTTTTCTGTTCCGTCTAAATCGGCTGAACTTTTTTTCGTCATGGAGTCACGTAGATTTTTACGCATTTGCTTGTCTTGCACAAATTTCACTGCTTTTGTGGAGTATGCTATGCTTGAATTTTTTTTGGAGTCATGATTAGCAAACGCTTATTCGCGGTTCTGTCATTCCGAACTGTCTTCGCTCTTTTTAGGCTTCTTTGTCTAACGCTGCTATCTTTAACTTTGTGGTAGGACTTAGTGTTTTTATGTGTCTTCATATTACTGGATTCACAATGATATTTACGGTGTCTGCAAAACTTTTTTGTTTACAACCGTCTTCTTTTCGGCTGCTTGTCATTATGCATTTTCTTTGTAGACGTCTCGTTGCATCTTCAGTTGCCGTAAGTAGGTTCAAGTCGCCAAAGTTATTTCTGCTAGCGTGTGTGACGTAAGAGATTAATTATAGAAGGGTTTTTATATGATACCGTCGTTGATTGGACCAAATTGATCGGTCTCTATTAGCATATGGGCTCCAGTGAGGATGCCTCGATATTGCTCACTAGGAAGCAGGTACATCCAGCTGACGAGTCCCAAATAGGACGAAATGCGCATCCTGGATTCCACTGCTAGCCACGATCCATCATTAACAGTAGGAGGTTACGTCGCGAGAGTGTAAAATTTTCACCAATCGTTTTTAACGTGACTTTATAAGCACACACAATTCTCAAGACCATGTGTTTATGAAGCGTTAGACAATATATCCGTTCAGTTTCCTTGTACCGCTTGACCAGAGTTCGTCATTCTATAGCAGCATATCGCCCTAGAAGCCTCTGTCGTTCTATGTTTATCTTTATTTTCTATCATAACTTGATATCGCCTCGATATCTTCGCTGAAATCATGACATTCTGATGAGACTCTGTTTAATATTTGCATTTCATGCTCGAGCTGCTCAAATCTATGCATCTTAATGAATCTCACTGTTATTCAGTGGATCAATATCATCCCCTTGTAAAATCCCATTTATGATTCATTTTCATCTTTCTCGCACTTGTATAATATTCATTTGAATGATTTGCTTTTTGTTTCAGTCAATTCGTCACTTATGACCTCTGAAGAAACTACTGCACTGATTGTTTCATTTACTTCACCAAGCTTGACAAATGTATCAACTTTTGAAAATTCCTCTGATCAGACTTCGAAATCAGCATCACTATCTGAAACACTTTTCGTTAGTAGAGGTAAATTCAGTATGATATTTTAAATGATTTCTTAGCTTTTTGTTATGGAGTGAAGTATTACCTTCCAGATACTTCACAGAAGTCTGGAGTTCCTATTAAGCCTTCAAAGCCAAAGATTCTATGCCAAATTCTCATACATGATCATATATGTCGGGTTTGGATTGTCTGAAAGAGCTTAATCGACAGGAATTTTCCTTCTATAAAAGATTATAAAATATCACAGCCACTGATATGTGCGCGCTTTGCGGACCAATAAACCTTTTTTCGTTTAGCGGCTTCTTCCCATTTCTGAAAAACGTACGAATCCTTAACGGTGACATCTAAGTATCACTATTAAAGTGTTCACATGCGCATCAGCTACTCACGTTATAATCACCTTTTGCTTATTTGTTGTTTGATCTCACTTCATGCTTGAGTTGATCGGAGAGATCAAGCGTATCTTCCTACTGGTCTTACCTTATACTTTTATCAGTTCAATCTATTTTCAAACTAATGATTATTTATGGGCCTATGACATAAGAGCTGCATTTCAATTTGCATAAAAAGTAGTAGGGCAAAACTCCTGTCCCACTGAACACCTTTATTGTCATTTTGACAACCTTTTCTATGCCAACCTGAGAACCATGATGAGTGTGCATCTTTACAGTGTCTAATCATCACACCTAAGTCAGAAAATTATTTTTCATACAAACGACAGATAGTGGCCAGCAATGGAATCCACGGCACACGTTTCACCCTGTTTGAAACTCATCTTATGGATTCATCTTCATCTTACTGAATAATTTTTTTTCCACTGAATCTTGAAACCAACACTGATAACTACAAACGCTGCAGCATTATCTCCTAGACTACTGCACCTATTCGATTCAATCAATGATAGAGATCTACAAACTTTCACACAGGAAGTACCTGTCATGACGAATTAGCCAGGTGAATAGCACTCTACGATTTGAAGCTCTAGATGCTGTGTTGATTCTCAGTAACAATAATATTACTCACTATGATGCTTATACATCCAGTTGAAGTATCCCTAGCAGGTCAAGGTTCGCTTAGTGATTCTCACCGTTAGCCACTCGCCACCATTACTATCAAAATTCAACTACCTGATGAGTTGATAACTTTACGATAAGAAATATTTTACAAACTGCCATAACCGTTTATATACTCAAATTTCAGGAACTTGAACATTGAAAACAGGAAATATTTAAACCAATAAATATCTTCGACTACTTCTTTCTTATCCTTTACAGTTATAAACCAATGAGTTATTTTATGACCAGTGTAAAATTTCGTTTGAGAAGGAAACAGACAGTGTCATGTTAATGAATGCAATGGAATTTAGCAGAAAGAAGAAAAAAAATACTTGTTCGTTCATATTAACTGTTATTTAAAAATATAGTGGATTTTTAGCTAGTTAGAATGTGAAAAAAATCTAGTGAGAATCCGTGCATATCTTTGTGAACAATCAGATAATTATCATATTGTCCTATCTTGCTGAAAGCTTTTAATGTTCACAACTGTAGACATTCCATCTATTTCTTGGAGATACTTTCTATATGGTTAAATTAAATTTTGAGGGAGTTGTGGAGATTTGGAAATATTTCAAGTTGCTATTCATCGTAGACTGACATCAGTTGGAGGAACAAATGAAACCAGGGAGCACTGGACAGCTGTTTCGTCCTAGTATGGGACTCATCAGCAGTGCGCACCCACGACCCAACACCAGAAGGGATCGAACCCGTGACCTTCAGGTTCCGCGGCCAGCACGTTACCATTGAGCCACTGGGTCAGAATCCAATGCTCCACATTTCCAACTTCTGTTAGCTCGTGGGTGCGCACTGCTGAGGAGTCCCATACTAGGACGAAACAGCTGTCCAGTGCACCCGGGTTTCCTTTGTCCCTCCAACTGATGTCAGTCTACGATGAATAACAACTTGAAATGTTTAAAGTTAAAAACCATCTACAATTCTTTGATGATAATCAGAGAATCGCCACCATAATTACTAATCTTATCGGTGACATTATATTCCTTGAATAATTATGACATTGTCGAACGTAGTGTATAGCATCAAACACCAAGTTAGCCATTCATACATATAAAATCTCAAAAGCGTTAACTAATAAAGTACATCAAAATCTTATCATAATGGTAGGATACTTTTTGGACTAAAAAAGAGTAGTTCTGATAACAGTAGATATGCACATCAACTAAGAAGTTACTGTCAAAACTCACTAGTCACTCACTTCGATATCTGAAATAGAAAGTGATATATTCCGTTATCAGTATGAATGCAAATTACTGTGGAAGTGGAGATAAACTCGTGTAATAAAATCCAAAAGAAGTTAAAGATCATATTTTGGATATCATAACGGTCTACAATTAGGTTAAATTAAAAGATCAGAGTAAGATATCTTTACAGGAAACTGATATGTCGAATATCTAAAGATACCCATAGATTAATCAGAACAAGAATAGTTTGAGCAAACAAGTGTTCACGATAACTTCTTCTTCAGGATCTACAGTTCATAAATTCATGAGAATAAGTGAAATAAAATAGACGAAATAAGGCATGATGTACAACTTTACTATATTGAGATAGTCAGTGTTATGGGTGAATGGAATGGAATGGTGGAACTGTTATGAGTCTGGTGTGTTAGTAGTGTAATGAAATCAATATTGACAGAACAATTACGAAATGAGGAGACAAAATCTACATATGATGATTCATTTATATACCTTTATTGTGACATGAATGTATGTGTATGTGTGCGTTTGTTTACTAAGGATCAAATAATAATTACGTAGTGATGACATATATTCAAGTGGTTCATTGTATAAGGTGTATTTTTACTTGTGTAATCCCGGCGTAGTATATTAGAACGAATAACAAAATAAACAAATATTTTGTATTATCCCTCAACGTTTCGATCTTGCTAGGAAGATCCTTTTCAAGAGTATGAGTCTGACAGTAAGTTTTCAGTTTAATATTCAAGTTTTGGTACAGAAAATGGTGACCTTTACAATCATCCAATTACATAGTGATATGGGGCAAAGATCCAATGTGTAATACAGGTGAGTGAATAAGCAACTCGTTGTGCGAGTAAGGTGGAAAAGTTCGTCTATGAAAAGTACAATGGGGTAGTGAGACATCAAGGTTGAGAAAGAATAGATTACTAGTTTGGAAGGATCAATATTTCAAGATCAGACAATATATGATAATAATAATGATAACGATAAATGTACTTTTGATAATACTTGTACTATGAGTGATTACAAAATGGATTATGTTATGGTTCATCGAGTGTATATGACTCACAAAGTAGCGTAAAATTGATGAAAATAGTAGATCAATAAAGTGTAATAGAACTAGACAAGCAGTTAAAATGCAACCAACATTTTTTTTCTTCCTTTTTCCTCTTGGTTAAGACGATTAAGAGAGACTATTCAAACAAGAGTGAATTCGGAATAAATAAATCATGTGGAATGATATACGTGTACTAACTAAAAATTTCCCCACCCTATTTCTGTTCCACCTTCTCCGCACAACGGAAAAATCTCTCTGACCGAGTTGCTTATTCACTCACCTGTATTACACATTGGATCTTTGCCCCATATCACTATGTAATTGGATGATTGTAAAGGTCACCATTTTCTGTACCAAAACTTGAATATTAAACTGAAAACTTACTGTCAGACTCATACTCTTGAAAAGGATCTTCCTAGCAAGATCGAAACGTTGAGGGATAATACAAAATATTTGTTTATTTTGTTATTCGTTCTAATATACTACGCCGGGATTACACAAGTAAAAATACATCCTATACGATGAATCATACCAACTCGGTGTCCAAGTTTTTTCAAACCATCCAGTCCATTGTCGGTCAAGATACCTTCAAACTATATTCAAATGGGATGAAAATCATGTGCATATTATAACGAAATAGTGAATAACAAATGTGAAGTGTTGCGTCACGGTTGAAGATGACTATAGGTTGTTGTATAAATAAAGGAGGGCGTAAAACTAATGACATCAGAAAATTAATGTTCATCAAAGTAATGACAACATAGAAGAAAGGAATGTGAGGCTAAAATGTGTAATTTGTGATAGGAAAGTTCATAAAGAACGTGTCGTGGATATATTTATCTTTTGAACACCTAGGTCCGGTTTTATTGCGTTGATCCCTATGGCTTCGACTACGATTAGGGTGCGAAGTCGTGCATCTTTAAGGAGATTGCAAGGAGCATGGTATATCACAGAAAAGGCGTGATCTACCTTAATCTTATGTCCGGTATCTACTAGATGTCAGAGGATTGCACTGTTGATGCTCTTTGTCATTCCTTTCCCTAACCAAGATGGCACGTGTTCACGAACGTGCATGGATTTTGTCTCCTCATTTCGTAATTGTTCTGTCAATATTGATTTCATTACACTACTAACACACCAGACTCATAACAGTTCCACCATTCCATTCCATTCACCCATAACACTGACTATCTCAATATAGTAAAGTTGTACATCATGCCTTATTTCGTCTATTTTATTTCACTTATTCTCATGAATTTATGAACTGTAGATCCTGAAGAAGAAGTTATCGTGAACACTTGTTTGCTCAAACTATTCTTGTTCTGAATGTCGAAAATTGTTGGTCATTACAAATCTCTTTCAGTTAATAATATAGGATTAAAACTTGTGCAGTGTGATAGATTTTAACTCCACATTAGTTGATTTATTGAATGTATCACACAATGGAACAGTACTTCTCACTGAATTACGTTTTGGACACAATTTATTGTCCATACTCATCTCAAGATTATCCCACAACTTTGAGACATGGTTTATGTGATTCTGATTCTCTCACCTCTTTTGTGATAACAGTAGCAGAATTTTGCACATGTCAAAACTGGTGCTGAGTCATTCCTGTCGCACTTTTTAGGTGTTGATTCGATAAACAATGATTTCGTTATCAACCTCTCCCTCCACACCGCTAGTTTAGTATTAAGGACTATCACTTTGTCCCATCCTTTTGTGTAGCTGCGTGTTATTGCATGCATAGCAGTCTCCGAGCTTGCTTCTAGATTCCTTACCTTATTAGCATCTACCAAATTTTGATTTTAGCTGGGTTTTTGTGCTCGGATAGACTATCTGACCCTGATCGATTACTTTAACCTACGTATTTGACTTTGCAGTAGTTGTAAGGGGTTTGGTAAATTAAACTATTCTGTCTAATTGGATGAATAGGGTCTTTTAACTCGTAAAGCTTATTTCTAAGTGAGTTTTTAGTTTCAAATACCACCTTAATCCCAGCCTTGTTGTGAATCCTGCAAAATGTTCCTGACCTGCCTTCTCTGTATGGTAGTACTGTAGAGATTTTTAATTCTCTCTTCATATTATTGCCACTATTATTACTAACAATATTATAAGCACTATTAACACACACCAGAACTGTGTCTAGAAACAGTTTCTACGATTTCTTTCGTAGTGAAAGACATCTTGGACCTAGTATATCATTTTGCCAATTGCTCCATACAAGTAGCACTTTAATCTCTATTGGCATATGAATTCCTATAAGGAAGCCTTGATATTGTCCGAAGATTTACTATGTTGCAATAAGCTTGGTGGTGGCCAGCTGTGGAATCTAGGGTACGGGTCCCGTCCTATTACAGGTTAGCTGGCTGGATGAAGATGCATCCCAGTGACTCGGTAGCGTGTTGGATAAGGCTCTACTGTTTAAAGTGATAGGTGCTGGGAATGTGTTTCAGTGGAAACACCATTGCACACTGAAACACAGGTATATCCATGTGACGAATCCCAGATGAAGGTGAAATGCTGCTCCTTCACTCCACTGCAAACCCTCTGGAAGTAAATAACAACTAAACAGTTCTCGCTTACTTTATTTCATTATGCTCTGTTCCATCTTGCTTTGTTGCATCATACCACTTTTTTCCTTTTCCTCCCTATATTGTCCCATTCGGTCTGGCTGATATTCATATCAGATGATATGAATACGGACAACAAATGACGTCTGAAACTTTATGCAGTAAATGATACTGTTCCATTGTGTGGCATTTCTAATAAACGGGCTAAAATGGGATTACAATCTATCATAGTGCCCAAGTTTTACTCATGTATTAGGTGTAAATTCCCAATTTTTGATGTCAGCGATTTCCACAGTGTATGCCTTTCGTTCTCATCATTCTTAATGTTGACCATGTTTTTGTTTTAGTCTTTTACTCTTCAATCCTTTATCTAAGATCATACTTTGTGTGTTGATCTGAGAACTTATTTACTTCAATTAATGCATTTTTCAGACCATTGATAGCTTCGTTTACTATCTAGTGGCGTAAATATGAAGAGTAGGGAGACGCCCACCACTAATCTTTACAATAGTTGATACTTTATGCAATTTTGCTATCTCTAGCAACTGTCTGAATTCATGAAGACAAAATAACAATTAAAAGCTCTTTGATAACTGACATCTTCATGATGGTAATTTTCAACGTTGTGCTTTCTTTCTACTGCTTTCTAGTATATACACAGTTCAAAGTAAATGCTGTCCTCTATAATTCAGAAAATGGAAAACATACCCCATGGTCTGATGACTATAATAATTACTCGTCAGCTGCTTACCTTTATTTAGCCGCACAGTTTTGTACCACGGTAAGTTATCCCTATATCCTACTTGATATATTATTTTGTGATTGTACGTATAATGATATTTATTCATATTGCTGTCATCTTAATGATTAGGAGGGGAATCCAGGACACGCGTTTTGTCGTCTTGGTGACTCATTAGCTGAATGTACCTAAACCACGGTGAATGGTGTTGTTCCCACTAAGACATGAGTATGCATTCACAACTCGCAAATAGCATACAAAACAGACATGATAATGAATAAAAAGAACAGGATATTTGTCAGCGAAGTAATATTTCCTTTCAACGACATTATTATCCAGCTGTACATTCGTATTTACAGTCAGTCAAATGCATCGAAACTGCTACTCAGTCAGTATACACAAGTGGTGTCCATGGGGAGTAGGGAGTGGTTCAGGTGGAAGAAGCGGAGAAGTTATTGATTAAGGAGGAATTCGTTTCAAGTAGTGAAATAAAGGTCAAATGTTGTCAAAGAAGTGTGAAAAATGATGATAACTGATATAAGGTATACAAAATGAATTTAAATGAAATTGAAAAAATCACCAAAATGAATTGTTAAGGTTAGTACAGAGAAAGGATTTTCACAAAACGCACTGTCTTGGCTTTTGTTCATGTATAGCTAGTGGTTCAGCTATTCTTATATGATGGAAAAGTAGACCTTTAGAATAGTTCAGTTTAGCTTTGTAAACTACCTTGAAAGATGAATCATGACCAGCTGAATGACTTAACTTCATTAGGTGTTCACATATGGATGTTGTTGTTATTCGCCCTTTTTGGTTAACTAAACCTAGTAGCGTTCTGCAGTGCCAGCTTACAAATCCCAATGCAGTCAGTTCGACAGGAGTATATCGTTTTGTAAATACACATAGATATGGACATAAGCTGTAACATATCTTTCATGCATTGACGAATTAAATGATAGGTCAAACATATCAACCACAGACTAGGAGAATAGAAGATATTACTGAAACACTTTGACAGGCTGCTCTTCAACACTTGAGATGTGGTATTCTGTATGAATTGCAAATTCATGATTAAAAGTTTCTTTGGAAAGATACTAGGGTGAGAGATAATTCGTTTCTTCAAGCTTTCATCAATAAATATTCTGGGTTACTTACTATTCAATAATGTTATTCTAAGCGCTTTAATTTCAACATTCACCATGTCCTCTTTGCATATTTTATGGATTCCAGAACACAGCTAGTCATTGAAATTTCTTTTACTACTAGGAGGTATTTAACTGATAAAATTGGTAAATTGTCCAGTCCAGATTCATTTGCCATTTGATCTTTAGAGTGAACCATAATCTCTTCTTTTCAATATCACATCTTCTTAAGCAGTGATTATTATAGACGGTTGACAGACATTAAATAGTTTGTGTAGTTCAACAACTGAACATTTCTCGTCACACATAAAAACAATCTTTTTACCTTCTATGTGGATAAAGTTCTGTGATTATTTCTTTTACTGACTTATTTTCGAGACTTGTTATGAATATGTCAGTCAGGACAGAGCCTACCATAGTGACTCCATCTGTTTGGTTATACATTACATCATTAAGTCTGAAATGTACATTAAACATAAATCTTGATACCAACTTCTTTAAGTAGACTGTCAGTAGTCCAATATTAATATTATTGGACCCCATATAATCGTACAGATAAAAAAATTTCAACGAGTGGTACATCTTTGTATAAAGAAGAAACATCAGGCGATACACTTATACACTTACCCGATATAGTTTGATTTTTTCAATGGAACGGATAAAACCAAAAGTTTCGAGAAGACTGTGTTTAAAACAATTAGTCCCTTTAAATTTTTGAGGGAGTTGTGGAGATTTGTAAATATTCCAGATTGCTATTCATCGAAGACTGATATCAGTTGGAGGAACAAAGGAAACCCGGGAGCACTGGACAGCTGTTTCGTCCTAGTATGGGACTCATCAGCAGTGCGCACCCACGACTCCACCAGCAGGGATCGAACCCACGTCCTTCAGGTTCCGCGGCCAGCGCGTTACCACTGAGCCACTGGGTCAGAATCCAATGCTCCACATTTCCAACTTCTGTTAGCTCGTGGGTGCGCACTGCTGAGGAGTCCCATACTAGGACGAAACAGCTGTCCAGTGCTGCCAGGTTTCCTTTGTTCCTCCAACTGATGTCAGTCTACGATGAATAACAACTTGAAATATTTCCAAATCTCCACAACTCCCTCAAAATTTAATTGAACTAGTGCTCATTGGTGACTAGCTTCGAGAAGTAATCCCGAAGTTCCAATGATAAGTCGTGACCAGTGGAGTCAAAGCCTGATGGCCATGAGGACAGATACTCAGCGTTGACATTGGGTGGCGGTTGCGCTATATATCGTGAGCTAACAGAAGCTGGAAATATGGAGCATTGGATTCTGACCCAGTGACTCAATGGTAACGCGCTGGCCGCGGAACCTGAAGGTCGCGGGTTCGATCCCTGCTGGTGTTGGGTCGTGGGTGCGCACTGCTGAGGAGTCCCATACTAGGACGAAACAGCTGTCCAGTGCTCCCTGGTTTCCTTTGTTCCTCCAACTGATGTCAGTCTACGATGAATAACAACTTGAAATTAGTCCCTTTAATAAATTTCGATACCGCTATTAGAAGATGAAGTTTATCTGAACAATGTGATATGTATTTGCTCAATACATTTCGAACATTCTGATTACACATTTACTTGTCAAATCAATTTATCTATGAAAATTAAAGGTTAAATATACTGAATCTGAAAAGGTTGTGACACTGGTCTTGATAATGTAATCAGACTACCAAAGATTACCAAGGTAAATTAAATGGAACAACAAGTTGTCTGATTTTATCAATTTTACCAATTTACATGTATGTGTGGACAAACATACATAGGCAGGAGTAATTGTTCAATACAGACTAAGGTGGGTGAACATATACCCAAATGGTTTGAAAAGCAATTCAACACACAAATATTGATAAGTGAAGGTGACAGACATCCATCGTCATCTATACGAAAATATATCATTGAACTGAATCACAGAGTTAATACGAAAACAGCCTTCAAGATATTATATAGGAATAATTTTTTTTAAACATTTTGTTTGTGCTTTGGAGTTTCTTTAGCTATTGGATTGGCTTTATGGCGCAGGGTTACTAGCCTTATATCCAACCTTCCCTCTTTATCCGGCCTTAGAACTGTCTAGTAAACGAATGAACTAGGCGAGGTTAAAGTGTAGAGAACCCGAGTTCTGACCCCAGGCCTGTTGGCCTGCAGTCGACTGCTCTACCATTGAGCTGTATCCCCGTGTTTCAGTCAGCACTAACTGAATTCATCGGCAAAATTGACTGTTCACTTCATTTCATTTAGACTACTTATTTGAGGACGGAACAACCTGTATTGTTTGAATGTATCATTAGTATATTTTTACTTGCCTTATAATAATTTTTTAAATTTTTAGATCAGAAGCAGTTTACTAATTGCAAATACACCAATATTTCAAGGTACTCGTTGTATAACAGTTATATTCATTCGAATCAGTTTATTTATTCGTTCAAAACGACAAATTAGTAGTATAAATAATACAAATAATGCAGACTATGGAGTACAAGGTAGTACATTAGTTGAATTACAAACTTTACCTGCTTCACAATTGAGTCAATCACAGTTTTCTGAATTCCTAGTTAGTGGTTATAATCAATTAAACAAGACATCCGGCGCTTTATTAAACAATCTTGAATCATCACGTAAGTGAATTACATTTACTTCCATTAATGTATATTGTTTTATTTATTCGATTAGCTTCGTAGTGATGTATAGTAAGAAATTAGATGTAAGTCATATGCAGATGGGAGGAAGAAAAACTTCCTGACTTTTACTTTATTTGCGATTACCTACGAGTAAGGTATATTTACAGGAAATAGGAAGACTATATGGGTATGCGATGAATAACTGTTACTTGACAAGATAAATGGTTACATCCTTCAATAAACCTAGTCGTGTTATTTCTTGCGAAACAGATTAGCAGTTTGCTTAAATCTTCGGCTACTAATAAAAACTTTCCACCGATTATATCCCATCAAATTCTTCCCTTTCAGTTTGTTTTAGTCTCTCAAATGTCTTCTGAACGCATCATCTACTGTCGCACGTTTTTTTAAAAATGTTTGCGGACTTTCATTTCTGAAGTTAACAACAAAATAAAGGAAAAATGTTCCACCGGTTGGAAATGGATTTTAAATGCTCAAAAATACACTATATTACTATGCCTAGGATACCTACATGGGATTGTGAATTTTTGTGCTGGCTGTCTGAACTGTACTATTAAAATTACACCCTATTCTGTGTTCATTTCTGAATCGAGACCAGATGCTGATGTAACACTAGCTGCCTGTTTCACGTTTATACCTTCAACACTGTTATTATTAATACTATTCAGATGGAATAATTATTTCTTCTAAAAATATTGTACGGAAAGTTAATTTGGTGAAATATTCTATGCTGAAAGTTCCATACTGTATCACACATGTTGTTTGGAATAAAGCGATTATTATTATTATTATTATTATTATTATTATTATTATTATTATTATTATTATTATTATCTATAAGACTGGTTAGTTGACAAGTTGATGGTACCACTGATGTGCACTACTTACATAAAGTTATAATGAGTATACTTTAAATGGTAACTGGAATAATAGTCAATATCAATATGTAACATTTTAGCTAGTCAAGTGAAAATACAATGATAGTTTAGCACATTGGTACTGTTAAGAACATCCCTTTCTTTAACCGGAAATGGGTTTACTCTTGAATAAGTGATTAGTAATGTCCATTGTGAATAAAGAATATTCTTTTCAATAACTTCTCATCAGGTTCTACAGTCACAAAATCAATTTCATTAACATATTCATAGCCAGAATTCATGGTGAATACATTAAGCAATCGGTATGGTATTATAATTAAGATTTGACTTCGTATGATTGTAGATGGTAGTGTAATTTATACATGTGTATGTCAATTGTGGTGATAAGTTGAGTGTAAACTCTGTCAATGGATTGGTGATCAAACGTATATGGGGAAGGAAAATTATTAGTAAAGTTCAAGGTTGCACATTGTGTCGAGTGAGTGATTAGTACAAAGAAAGATGACATGAAATTTACCTAAGGGCAAAAAGGGAGTGGTATATCATCCTAAGATGGTTAATATATGAAACGAATAAGATAATGTTAAAAAAAAATTTTAACAGGATATTTCAAGGATTATTATAGTAAGACGGGAGGAAAGTCTGGTTAAAGAATAATAGCACTAATAATAATGATAACAATAGTTTCGAGGGAGTTGTGGGGATTTGGAAATATTCCAAGTTGTTATTCATCGTAGACTGGTATCGGTTGAAGGAACAAAGGAAACCTGGGAGTACTGGACAGCTGTTTCGTCTTAGTATGGGCTCCTCAGCAGTGCGCACCCACGACCTTCAGGTTCCGTGGCCAGCACTTTCCATTGAGCCACTGGGTCAGAATCCAATGGTCCATATTTCCAACTTCTGTTAGCTCACGATATAGCGCAACCGGGCAACTGGTGCTCATTGGTGACTAGCTTCGAGAGTTATTCCCGAAGTTCCAATGAGAAGTCGTGACCGGTGGGGCAAAGCCTGATGGTCATGAGGACAGTTACTCAACAGTGATATTAGGTAGCGGTTGCGCTATATCATGAGCTGACAGAAGTTGGAAATATGGAGCATTGGATTCTGATACAGAGGCACAATGGTAACATGCTGGACACGGAACCTGAAAGTCGTGGGTTCGATCCCTTCTGGTGTGGGGTCGTGGGTGCACACTTCTGAGGAGTCCCATAATAGGACGAAACATCTGTCTAGTGCTCTCAGGTTTCCTTTGTTCCTCCAACTGACATCAGTCTATGACGAATAACAACTTGAAACAATAGTTTCGCTTTTTATTTTATAAAAGAAAGAAAAAATGAGAGCGGAGACGAAAAAGAAAGATTAAGAAAGAAATAAAAGGGTTGAAAGAATACTGTTTAGTCGATGGAAGGCCAAGGGGGGAGAATACAAAGTTCAGGCTTCGTTGATCTTACAGCTATAGCTTCCGTTGTATGGAGAATGCGTAAGCGAATGGCACATGGTAGAGTCTTCGGAAGGCTGTGTATCAGAGTGGAAGCTGTGCTAGAATCTATCTAGTATAAAACTTCTAATGGGTTTAATCTCACCCTTTGCAAACCACGTCGGTAGATGTTCTCATATCCTGAGGTGAACGTGTTTAATAACGTCTTATTGAATAGTTACATTAATATATGCATGATGAAGAACTGAAATTAGGTAAGGCGTTCTCAAGTCTCGGATTGAACAGCAATTGGTTATTAAAGGATAGGCATAGACGTCCTTAGTAAAACGTTCTATTTATTGCTCTGGATAGACGTTGTGATAAAGTTTCATCCGGGGTGTCTCCTTTAAATTACGGACGCAGAAATAAAGGTTTTCTCTGCACGCTTGTCAATTCCTTTTTTTTCGAGTACTGTGAGCGACGTTTGCTTTTCTAAACTTCTCTGGATGTCCGTTTTCCCTTAAAATATCCTAAAGGACTTGTAATTCTTTCTCGACACATTCCTCAAAGCGGATCGATCTTGCTCTAAATGCTAAACATCTGATAACATTTCGTTTGTACTTCATTGTTACAAAACCGAGGAAATGTGTATACTGTGCTTTGGTTTTCTTCCTACATACACTTCATTTCAAAGAACCATCTTCTTTTCTTGTCAGTAAGACATCAAAGGAATGAAAAGAGTTATTTCTTTCACATTCATTTATAAAATGAACTGCTAGATGGGCGTTATTGAAGTGGTTGAGGATCAGATCAACAGAACTGTGTTCACTATAGACTAGAAATGTATCATCAATGTACCAACAATACAAATCTATGTTGGCAGTGTCATTCTTGAATGGTCCGTTTTCTAGTTTAGATAGAAATATATCAGCAAATATAGAGTCTAGTGGAGATCCCATAGCTACACCGTCTATTTGTTTGTACATTTGGCTGTTGAACAGGAATTGGGGATTCATTGTGTAAATGACCAGCAACTTTCTTAACTTGTCAATAGGGATGCCAGTTAAGTGTAGATATATAGTTCACAGTTTCAATGAGATGAACGGTAGTGAATAAAGACGTCACATCGAGAAATGTCATACGTTTATTTATAGCAACATTTACGTTCCTTATTCTGTTTATAAACTGGAAGGTGTCCGTGACACCGTATCTGACTAGGTCTTCCCGTAAAGGATGTAGCATTTCTACTAGCCACTTTTCAATCTCATGGTTAGACGAGTATGATATGTCTAGGGTAGAGCAGAGTGGTACTTCAGTTTTGCGTATCTTTGGTTAGTTCATACATACAAGGAATCGTACTGCCTTTAGGCTTCAAATTGTCAAACATAGCTGATGATATAAAGCCTTCTTCTTTAAGCTTCTTTAGTGCAGAGATTATATTCTATTCCGTTTTTTTTCAGTTGGGTCTTTAAATGATTCTAATTATTCAATGATTTAATAACTGTAGAACCTGATGAAAAGTTATTGAAAAGAATATTCTTCGTTCACAATCGACTTTTAATACATAAAATGAGAGTTTTTAATTCCCTAAAAGATTAATAATGTAATTAATTAGGAATAATATAACCGAATAACTGTCGGTAAATGACGACAAACTAAATCGTCAGACAAATGATATTTGGGTCATTAAAGTTGCCACCTTTTATAAGGAAGAATTATCAAAATGATGAAATTAATGTCGATTGGAATGTTACTGTACAAAAAAAACTACTATTTATATGACAGATATACGATGAAATATAGAAGAACCACAACTGATGCATAGAATAATAGATGTTCAGTAAAGAAGAAACTTAGCACATTCTAAACTATCAAACCAGACTACACTGTATCTGAATAACTATCAGTGTCTTCTTTCAAGTCCATCAGCTATGTGTGATTTTCTCCTCAGAAGATGGGAAATCAAACTGAACCTGTCAGTATACTCCAATAGATCTGTTACGCTGATTTTAGGCTTAAATATCAATTCGTATCAATTTTGGAAGGTGGGTTCTATAGAAAGAAATGTTGCACTTAATTCTTACTGTTTAGTAAGTAAGCGAATCTGACTGTTGAATTGCATGTACATGATTATACTGTCTGCAATTAATATTGAGATATTTTCACAAGAAACTGATATAAGTACGAGTGTTGATAATTTGTAGCTTGAAGATAGACAAGAGAGAAGTTCAAGGGTTGGAAATAGTCAATCAGTTCTTAGTACTCAATCCAATGCTTCAAAAAAAAACACAACAGGTCAGATGTTATTCGGTTGGAGGTGATCAGGAGGATGTCCTACTCGAACTAAGCTTCGTATTAGCTGTGGCTCATCAGCAGGACATATCTACAAACTATGGGGTACTCATGTCGAATCCGAAGTTCGAACCCACGTCAATGATCTTATCACTGAGCTGTCTAAGTCACGATCGATTTTCTGTGGGAGTGAATCAGATACATTAATCAGCCATGTTATCTAGTCATCATTGCTGACAGAAATCTAATGCTCATTTTTGCAGTGTGTCTATCAAACTAGGAGACTGGTCAAGTGACTTTGTTTTGAAGTATGTTTTTTTTCATTTTTGTCTTTGCTTAGATGCCAATTAGTATTAAGTATCGTTTTTATTTCAGGTTCTTCACCAACTATAACATGTGAAAGTGTTCAGTTAGTTTGTGGACAACATGCATCATGTCGTAATACTGAAAATGGTATAGCTTGTACTTGTGATCCTATGTGGAAAGATACAAATCCGTCTGATCCTGGAAAGCATTGTACACGTAAGTTTATTTATTATGAATTAAATGAGACATAATAACTTATGGTGAAGTGAAAAGAGAAATGCGTATCTTTTATATTGAACTAGTGTAGTAGGCGCTGCTGATCACAATGGATATATGTTGAGAGGGCGGCAGAGATCATAGGTTATTACCAGCAATGGGTAAATATTCTACCCAGAGAAATCAAAGAGACAATGTGGACGTATTAAGAGCAAATCAAGATAGAAGCAGAAGAGGAAATGAAGTACAATGTACAAATGGCTGTTTTAGTGGAAAGCATACAATATTTGATGACTACTGTACAGGATGTCAATAATAAATAATTCTTCCTGTGTCTGTCTTGTCGTTTTCTACACTAGTAGTAACACTTCCATTAAATCTATTCACTTGTAGTAACTTAGTCTATATCGAACTCTTCACTGAACCAAATTTAGAAAAAAAACAATGTGACTCGCAAGGTTTCACACTCTCAAGACTGAATCCTTAAGAGTAGTGAATAATTGGACACAGCTTGTATTTCGTAAACTCATATTGAATATTGATTGTTCAAAGATATAAACAGTGAACAGATTAGGAATATAATCTGATACAATGTGGTGATTTCGGAATTGAATTATGAATTAATTGATCAGTACTTAGGATTCAATGGAGCTAGTACTCCGAAAGTTATGCAGGCAGAATATGGATTGAAATTGTAATACGGTACATTCCAAGCACTCCTGAAACCAGGGTTATACAACCAGTCCACTAAATAGTTCACACAGTATTGCATGCATGCATACACGACAGACTTCAAAAACCACCCATACAACTGCTGAGATAACCAATTATTTTTCTTCACATTACGAAGAACAACCTTCGAGGCCGAAATACCGAAACTTGATTGGTTATTTCAACAGTTGATAGGGCGACCTTGAAGTCATGAATGACTTCACAGACCACTGTAGTGACGACTAAAATAACCTATTAGCTTAGTCTGTTTCGGTTGAAGAGGCAGATTTTCATGTAATAAAGAAGTCTAGTTGAATATTTTAAGTGAACTTATTGACCACTCTGGAACCAACAATCTAACCAACCAATATTCTCCAATTCGGTTGCAATAGCACTTTGTCGTTATATTAAAAAATCTAGATGATTATTTTACTAGTTGTTAGGGTGGCCATTAAGAGTCTTTCGTCTACTTCGTGAGTGGATTTAAACGCCATCCTAGCAACTGCTGAGATCACCAATTATGTTTCACCATATCGGCTAGAAAGGTAGATTTGAAGTAGATATTGAAGTCTAATTGGTTATTGCAATTGTTGTTAAGGTGACTTTTAGGGTTAACAACACAAGTCTAGTGACATCTCAGTAATTATCCTTGTTTGGTGACCTTGACTAATGTTATAATCCTACTGTTTATCATTTAAGCACAACCGAGTCTGTGCTACCACAGTAATGGGTCTCTAAAGCCCATCCTAACAAAAACTGAAGCAGTCAAATAAACTTTGCATATCCAGGTGAAGTGGGTTTGACCACAAAGGCCACCTTAGTAACAATGGTGACAACCAGTTAGACTTCGATATGTACTTAAAATCTGCCTTTCTAGTCGAAATGGAGAAAAGTAATTCGTCATCTCAACAGTTGCTAGGGTGGTCTTTAAAGTCAGTCACCTGACCCAGCCACACGAAAACCCAGACCTCGCACACGTCTGGCGACTTTAAAGATCACCCTAGCAACGATCGAAATAACTGATTTGGTTTCTCCATTTCGATTGGAAAGGCATATTTGGAGTGACAATTAAGGGCTACTCTAGCAACAGCTGAGATAGCCAATTATTATTATTATTATTAGTCCCTTGGGTTCCTAGTGGAACATAGGGCTTCAGTAGCACGCCTCCAGTGACCTCTGTTCTCTGAGATCTTTTGAACCTGGTTCCACGACAGCCCACAGCTCTCATTTCCTCCTCGCATGACCTCCTCCATGTCACCCTCGGACGTCCAACTCGTCGCTTCCCATGGGGATTCCACTCGAGGGCCTGACGCGTGATGTCCTCAGTCGGCCTTCTCAGTGCATGGCCAATCCATCTCCACTTCTTCCTGCATATTTGTTGCGTGATAGGTTCTTGGTTGGTTCGTTCCCAGAGTTCCTTGTTGCTTATTTTTTCTGGCCATCTGATCTTCAGCAGCGAGCGTAAGCAGTTGTTGATGAATGTCTGTAGTTTATTGGAAATGCCTTTCGTGACGCGCCAAGTCTCTGAGCCATACAAGAGCACTGACTTGACGTTGGTGTTGAAAATCCGTATCTTGTTCCACATGCTGAGTGCAGAAGATCTCCACACTGGTTTCAGGCTAATGAACGCCTGTCTTGCTTTTCCGATTCTGACTTTGACGTCCTCGTCCGTCCCGCCTGTAGTTGAAACAGTGCTTCCTAGATAAGTGAAGGAGGTTACTTCCTTCAAGTTTCTCCCGTTGACGGTGATTGGAGTTTGTTGTTGTTGTTGATGGTGGTGGTGCGGTATCTTCATCACTTCTGTCTTCTCTATATTCACCTGAAGTCCCGTCTTAGCTGCCTCTTCTGTCAACTTGTTAGTTTTTGCCTGCAGATCTTCAAGTTTATGTGACATTAGGCATAAGTCATCGGCGAAATCCAAGTCTTCTAGGTTCTTTTCCGTCGTCCAGTGTATCCCCCTCTTCTCGCTGCCTACTGTTTGCTGCATGATCCAGTCCACCACAATAAGGAATATCATGGGGGATAGTAGGCAACCTTGTTTCACTCCTGTCTTCACTTCAAAGGCATCACTGAGCTTCCCATTGTGGATTACTTGGCATGTGGCATCTTCATATAGTTGTTGAATGAGGCGGATAAAGGTTTGCGGTACTCCGTAGTATTGAAGCAGTTTCCAAATTACTTCTCGGTCGACGCTGTCAAAGGCCTTCTCAAAGTCGATGAAGTTGAGGTATAGAGCTGATTGCCATTCTACGCTCTGTTCTATGATGATACGAAGCGTTGCAATTTGGTCAGCACATGATTTGTACTTCCTGAAGCCTGCCTGTTCCGGTCGCAGTTTTGAATCCAGTGCGTCTTTAAGCCTCTCCAGGATGATGCGGCTTAATATTTTACTTGGGGTGGATAGGAGAGTGATTCCGCGCCAGTTCTTGCAAGCACTGAGGTCTCCCTTCTTCGGCAGTTTGACAAGGTAACCCTTCTTCCAATCGTCAGGTACCTTCTCTTCCCTCCACACCTTCTGCAATAGTGGTGTGAGCATGTCCGCTGTTGTCTCTGCATCTGTTCTCAGTGCTTCTGGCGGTATTCCATCTGGTCCTGCTGCTTTCCCGCATTTCAGTAGCTTTATGGCGTTCAGGACTTCCATTTTCGTTGGGGGATTAATGTTCACTTGTAATTCAGCGGCTGCAGGTGGTATTTCTGGACGAAGTGCAGGTGGTGGTCGATTCAAGAGCTTCTTGAAGTGGTCGGCCCATCGTTTCCTCTGTTTCTCTTCTTTTGTAATTAAATTTCCTTCTTCATCTTTTATTGGTTTCATCTGTGTTGGTCTCTTCCCTGATAGCAACCTGGTTATTTGATACAATGTCGTCAGGTCTCTCTTACCTGCAGCCTGTTCTGCTTCACTTGCCAGTGTTCGTAGAAGTGTCTTTTGTCTTTGCGTGCACTCTTCTTCACTTCTTTATCCAGTGTTTTATACATTGTGCTCAGTTCCTCTTGTCGTTGAGCATCCTTGCACTGGTTTATCTTCTGCTTCACCATCCTCCTCTCCTCTATCAGCTTCCAGGTATCCGTCGAGATCCATTCCTTGTCTTCTTTCTTCTTCCTTCCTAATACTGTTGTGCAGGTTTCTTTCCACATAGCTTTCAAAGACTTCCAGTGTTCTTCCACACAGGTTTCTTCAGGGATGTCCCTCGACGTCTCCCATTTTGTCTTGATGGCTGCTTGAAGATCTCCTTTGTAGTTTCATCCTTCAGTTTCCGAGTGTTGTACTTGAATTGAGGTCTATCACCAGCTTCCTTGAAGGCTTTTAACTTGATTTGGAAGGTTCCTTGCACTAGATAGTGATATGAACCTACATCTGCTCCTCTTCTTGACCTTGTGTTAAGTAGACTGCGTCTCCATTTTCTTGAGATTGAGATAAAGTCGATTTGATTTTTAGTGTGTCCATCTGGTGAAGTCCATGTCGCTTTGTGGATATCCTTGTGCCTGAACACACTGCCTCCAATCACCAAATCGTTGAATGCACAGAATTCTGCAAACAATTCTCCATTCTCATTCATTTCACCTAGCGCCTCTCGACCCATGGTTAGTTCTCTTCCCGTGTTGTCCCCTCCCAGTTTGGCATTCATGTCGCCCATTAGAATTTTGATATCGCCAACTGACGTCTTGTCCAGTGTTGACTGAAGTTGTCTGTAGAATTCCTCCTTTTTCTCTTGCTCTGCATTATTTGTAGGTGCATAACATTGTATGATTGTGACCTTTCTTCCTTTTGAGTTGAATCTTGCTGTCATGATCCTGGAGGAGATTGGTTCCCACTGCATGAGAGCCTTCGATGCTCTTGAGGACATCATGATAGCCACTCCCTCAGTGTGCTCGTGGTTGGCGTCTGGGTGACCGGAGTAGATTATTGATTCTCCAGTTGACAGTTTGGAGAGTCCACTCCCATTCCATCTGCTTTCGCAAATCCCAAGCACTTCGATGTTATACCTTCTCATCTCCTTTGCAATCTGGGCTGCCTTACTGGTTTCAAACATGGTGCGGACATTCCATGTCCCCACGTTTACTTTCGCTTTCATCGAGATAGCCAATTAGGGTTCTCTATTTTATAAAAAAATTGACCATCTTAGGGATACATCGAAATTTAATTGGTTATTTCAGTTGTTGGTACGGTGGCCCTTAAAGTTGGGTGGCTTTAAAGGTTACCCTAATAACTAATGGAACAGACTATCAGGTTTCGGTATGTTGACTAGGTAGTCAGCTTTTCATAAAATACAGAACCCTAACTGGCTGCTTTAACAGTTGCTGGGATGGTTTTTAGAGCCACCCTTAA